GCTTGAGGGGAAGACAATAGTAGATTCCGCAAGAAGATTACTCACCAAGTGGGCGAAAGAAGCTTTGATAGGATCAACCGAAGAGGAAGGTAGCGCCGTAACGACGATTCTTCAGCCCGCAGATGCAAAAACGAAAAAAACTAGACCGTATTTATTTTTTTGAAAGCTCAAAGGCTAATATATTAAATAAAAAATAGGGTACAGATAGATTTTGTGGGAGATACAAAAAATGACACCCAACCCACAAAAAAACTACCATATCAAATGGTTACAAAAAAGAGAAAATACAGTCAACACATAAGAGATCTAAAAAAATAAAAACAAAAAAAATGCCAAAATAGGAATATCAAGTAGTTGGAGAGAGACCCAATTTTTCCTTATCTCTACTCTAGTTCTAGGAAAAGAGCTAGCTAAAAAATTGGTTAGATGAGTGTCATTGTCAGCAGTAACCAATGTACCATCCAATAGATTCCCTAACTCGGGTCGTCCTCCGTTCTTTTTCTTCTTTCTCGTGTAGACCTGACATTCCTCATCCAAGAATTGACTCACCTGATCAGCAGAATGGTCTGAAGTGTGCAGAATATGTGTAGATTGTTGAACATTAGAGACAACTACTTGTTGTACTAGTTGATCTTCTTTCGGGTTGAAAGAGCACTCTCGTGTGTCTAGGCATGTAAGTGGGACTTCTTCAATAACAGTAAGTGGTATCAGCACATTTAGATCTCTACCTGTAGTAAGGTGTTCTTCATCTGGAACTGCGGTGTTGGAAAGAGGATCAAATTGCACCTTTCAACAAGGATTGTAGATTGTTGATCTTTAGCGAAATTCGATCTTAGATGAGGATGCAAGTACATTAGAGACGACTACTTGTTGTACTAGCTGATCTTCTTTTGGGTTGAAAGAGCACTCTCGTGTGTCTTAGCATATAAGTGGGACTTCTTCAATAACAGTAAGTGGTATCAGCACATTAGGATTTGTACCTGTAGTAAGGTGTTCTTCATCTGGAACTGCGGTGTTGGAAAGAGGATCAGATTGCACCTTTTCAGCAAAGATTGTATATGGTTGATCTTTAGCAAAATTTGGTCTTAGATGAGGATGCAAGCGATAGCAAATATTAGAACTGTGGTCAAACATACTAAAATGAGAGCAATAAGGAGAATGTGGTTCTTTTTCAACATTTTGTCAATACATGTTGTGAATAGTGCAATATATATCTTATCCAGAGTTGGTTGAGTGATATCTCTCTCACCTAATACACAATCCACAGAGGGTCTGGTGACAACAAACGTATGGCTATCCATCTTGAGAGACTTATCGTAAATAGTTGCTAAAGTGTATAGTATTTTCATGTTGAACGGATGTAATTTTAATCCCGGAAATTTTATCCAAACTGAAATGATAATGGACTCCACTTTTGGATCAAAACCGACACTCCACTTCAGAATTTTCATAAAACGATTGTCGATATTGATAGTTTTTCGAGAGAAAATGCGAGTGTAATCGACATCGTGAAATAGTTGAATAAGTATATGTCGAAAGTAAAGTAGGCCAACGTTCCAACTGCCCAATAGTTTCATAGCATCAAACTCCTTCCCAATGATCTCCAGTTTTGAGTGACCATAAAGGAATTTCCCCACAAGAGCAAAACGCCAAGAGGACGCGACATTACCGGTTTCATCCTCTGTGAGAATAAGTATAGGCTTCCCATTTTTTTTCCAACCTTTTTAATAAAAGTGTGATCGCCTTCACCTTCAAGAGCCTCGTGGAACAATTGTGGAACATTACAGGACTTACCGATAGCAAAACCAAGCTCTGAACCTGGAGGAGGGGCACGAGCAGAAGTGGGCAAATCGTCGGCAAGGGCATTTGCATAGGAATGGAGCGTCGAGAACTTCTCCCTAACAAGATGGTCACGGTCAGGAGAGACAGTTTGGCGGGCTGCAAAAAAGCGAGCAAACTTCAATTGCTGTCGGGCCCAGTTCGTCTGGAGCGAGCGAGGAGACAACCGTAAGAAGAAATGTCGTCGGCTATGGGAGATGATTGCGAGAGAAAGCGTCGTCGTCAATGGAATTAAACGACGACAACAGTAGCGGTCCTTGTCGACAACGGAGATGACAGTAGCGCTCGACTTCAACAGAAGAGACAGGGAACTGCAGCTACGTGAACGTCGTCGTGGGAGACGTCGAAGCCTATAGAATCACCGTTGCGAATCGCCATGGGACGAAACCCTAGTAGAATGTGTCGTTGCTGACGCCATTATACTGTAAATATATATATATAAATAAATAAAAAAAATATATATATATATATATATATATAAAAAGTCCAAGGGCTATCATATTAAAGAGGAAAAGATACAGATAGGTTGTATGAGAGAGCCTAAAAGAAGACCCAACTCACACAATACAACACACACAACTCCAAATAAAACAAAGATACAAAAAAATTAAAACCAAAAATCCACCAACGGGCGTAAAAATACTAGGGACATCCCACTTTGGTTCTTCCTCTGCCTCTAATTCTCGGAAGGGAGCCGACTAACAGATTGGTAAGGTGCATATCATTACCCGAAGTAACCAAAGTACTGTTCATCAGATTCCTGAGCTCAAGTAGGTATCCATTTTTCTTCTTCCTCCTAGACGTGTAGACATGTCATTCCTCATCCTAAGATTGACTCATCTAATCAATGGATTATTCCCATGGTTGTCGGACAGGTGTAGGCTATTGCACATCATGATCCCCATGAGCCTGAGTAGCACTAACTTTTTGCTCCTCTTAATGAGGAGATAGTGAAG